GCTGGTTCGGGAGGAATACTATGAGCCTGCGAGCAACCAGCTCACGCCAGCAAAGGCGTTTTATAAAATGCTGGGGATTATCATTGTTCCCCCCAGTGCACCCAACATTTCCACACCGCAGCAGGAGCAACCGCAGCAGAGTTTGCCCACATCACCGCAACAGCCAGGTTTTTTCACATCACCTTCAGCCAGCCCTGCTCCCTCTTCAACAGGGAAGCGGCAGACACCCCGCCAGCATTCACAGCCCCAGCGAGAGCCTGGATTTCTTCCTGTACAGTCGGCTAGGGTGAATGGTGGAGCTACTCTTTTGGCTCCTGCAGAAATAAAAACTGTTAATTCCGGGCCGGCTTGTTGTGTAAGCGGCACCGGAAATGAAAGAACTGCTTATTTTAAGGACAATTATTCTGGCCCATTGAGCCATTCAAACTGTGTTACTCCTGTTCCTTTCGAGCCTATCCATGAAACTAGGAAGGTGGGTGTCTCTGTGCTCAATAACTCCAAGGATCCAAAGACTGTTTTAGACTTAGATGGTTGTGAGCTACAAACTGAAATGAAGGGTCCTGAGGGTTCTGTTAAAAATGAACTGTGTGTTCCCCAGCCCTCAGCTCAGTTAGCCGCCCAGTTAGCCGCCCGGCCTAAAGCCCAGTCGCCGCCTCCACCACTTTCAGCCTCACTACCCATAGTTCAGTCACTACCACAGCCAGACTTATTACAAACTTTGTTACAGTCTATGGCCCAGTCGGTAGCTCAGTTGGTAGAAGAATCATTAGCTTTATCATCAGTTCAGTCTCCAGCGTCCTCATTACCTGTTCTCCAGTCAGTTCCGTCTCCTGCATCTCAGTCGACCTTAGTGCACTCTCTGGTATTGCCAGCACCTCAGCCATTCGCACGGCCTGCTCCTCAGCCACCATCTCCACCCACTCATTTTCAGGAGGAGATAAGCCCCACACAGACTTTCATTGCTCCTCAAGACCTAGCTCAATTTGAGACTTCTACTCTCTCCGGGGCCTCCCCAGAGGTTAAATATCAGCATTCAGTTAACTCTGGACCCCTGGACATAAAGAAGCCAGC